ATATATGAGCTAAATAAGATACGGAGACTGGATGGTCAAGAGGAGGTGTGCTTTTGGCAAACATGTATAATTTTTTTTTGAAACAGAACAAACATGTATAATGAGTGGCAAAAGTAGGGTTAAGACACCGATGCATCATCGTTTTAATAAATAAATTAAACGGGCAATGTGCAGCAAATCAAACAACACCTGAAAGATCTCTGGATTACCGGTCGTGGAGGCTGATTGATAGGACAAGAATGCCTGCCTGCATGACAAGAACGTGTTTACCAAACTTCGGAAACAAAGAAAGAAAAAATCCAACAAAGAGAGGTGGAGAAACTTGCTGATGTGGACGTGCGGTGACCGGGCCGGGGTTGTCCACACCGGCGGCCGTGTCCAGTCGCGATCAGGCCGGTACGGTGTCGACGAGACGCGAAGGCCATGTCCAGACGTGAGCCAGCCGTCGATGTGCAGGCGCGACGCCACATGCGGCGCTGTGCGAGCTGGCGTTGGGGTTGTCGTGGGGGGAGTATTTGGGGGCGGCGACGTCCTGGAGATCCAACTCCCCCTTTGGAGGAGGCACGGGCACGGTTAAGATCCTGCGGGAGGCGGCCCTGATTCCTTGCTTTCTCTTCGGAGGAGTATTGGATTGCATTCCGAATTTTAGGGCGAGATGTGCGTCTGTTTTCCTCATTCATCGTGTGATCTTATCTTAGGTGGGGGGGAAACTGGGCGGAGGAGCGTGTTTTTTCTCGTGAGGGCGGACCAAGGGAAGGCAGAACGCGGTCAGCGTGGCAGGAAACGAACCTTACGCTCTTTTTCTTTCTTCTTTTAATATTTTATTTACATTTTTATAATTGATGATGAATTCAAACACTCTAGAAATCAAAGTCAGCACCTCTAAGAGACTAAGCCGTCATAGCAACATCCGATTGTTGCCCTTCCCTTAAAAAGAGGCAATGAGATACTACTGCATAATAATGACAACATGCCCTCCAGCTAAATAACTTCGTGATTTTGGGATATACTCTTTCATGGATTTTGGGATATACTCTTTCATGGATTTTGGGATATGCCCTTCAGCTACATAATAATGACAACATGCCTTCCATGGCTGTGAGACAACAGACCTTGCCAGACCAATGCAAGGAAGGGGTCACACAAGACAATATATGACACCTCCTTTTTGGACCCGTAGATAATCGAGCAATATGTCACCTTTGCAACAACATCAAAAAAAGCATCCAGCATATTCGATTGGATTTGGATCACACAGCAGGAATCTCTACTATCTAAAAAAAACGTAGTGTTCCGTTTCCCCTCTTACGTTCCCCGCTTCGTCCAACCTCCCGTACGACCCCCTCAACCCCCGATTTTCTTTCCCCCGTCCCAGTCCCACCTCTCCTACGACCCACTCACCCC